AACATTACACTTGGACAAAAAAAAAGCTGCCTTGATAGCCTAAGTCATCAACTCATTTAATGATCTTATCATAAAGGTACCATAAAGGTATCTACCAAAACTTTACTTACACTGGTTTGAAGAAACTGTGCTACTACTGTTATACTAGATCTCCCAAAATTATATTTTATTAAACCTCTTTTAGGCAGCACTTTGTTTTCTATCAAATAAATAGAAAGATATATTGATTTTAATAAATTGGTATGAAATCATGAATCCCCGAATGCAAACCACATATAAATAATAAATAATTTCACAAGACAATAATACACAGTGGTTTATGAAATTATTAAAATATTATGAATAGGCTTTATTTTACGAGTACATGCTCCTATAATGACTAATGATGCTAGTCTCCTATACATTTTCGTTTCATTCTAGTACTTATTTCAAGAGTAAAATAAATAATTTTATTATTATTGGCATTATTAGGCCCACACAGAGTATGCATGTGCAGAAATCTGCAGATCTATTTATTTACTTGTGTGGATATGTAAATATATATGTTCTCAGTTTTTATATTTTATAATTTCTCTCTTTTAGTGTATACACGAGACTTACTTTACCAAACATGTGGTTCTAATTAAATTTGCACTGTAAACGTTATTTAGAAGTTAATTTTTTTCATGCATTTAGTTACTATACTCTCAAAATCATTCAGAATAAAATAGCATATATTGTGCAAAGTTTTACACTGAATTAGCAAAAATGCTTGCAGATTCTGTCTGGTCCTGGTCATAATATGGTAAGTACTTGTTTGTAATAAATTAAAAAGTATATATTATTTAGCAAATATTCGATAAACACTAGTGATACACTAAGTGATACTCTTTTTTTTTTACTATAATACGGATGTTTAAGTCAAACAAACTCAATCATTACTGTATAGCTTACTAACATGTCAAACATTTCTTATACATAAATCCTTCAATTGGCAACTATAATAGACTGCAAGGCAAAATATAAATCTAATCACTAAACACGATTCAGTAACATTAACTGAAATCTTGTTTCCTGTAACAAAAGTTGTATCTTGTCACATCTGGAGTAAGTGCTAATACATAATACAACCAATGCCAGCAAACAAAAAAATGAAATATTAATAGCATTAAAAACGCATATTATTTAGTAAGTTAAAAAAATTATTGTTCAAATGGCTTGCCACGTGATGTGTCATGTCATGTGATGAATTAAATCAGTCGACACCTATGCCCGACCCGACCGTGGTTTCAAATGTGAAGACTATTTGACATAACACACGTCTTCTAATGGCTATCATACCTCTTTAGTAGGCGTTAGGGAATCTGCAGCAGGGGTAATGACTGAGATCTCTGGCAGAGGAGACACAAACCGTTGAGACCTCATAAGACCAACAACATCAGCCGCTGTGGACTCAAACACAGCCCCGCACTCTTCCTCATCAGACAGAATCCCGCATGGAGACGCCAGAGCCATTATAACAGACCTAGAAATTAATATAGACAGTTCTACATTTAGAAGAAAATTACAATTATTTATAGTCTGGACCTCTGTATATGAAAATTAACGTTACTCATATCGTAAATCTATCGGTTAACGTTAAGTGAGCCAGAAATCTGATCATCAGTTCAAACTCGCTATTTTGTTGTTTGTTAATGCAACATTATTCATAGAATTAAAATCATATAATATGCAAGAAACAGCACTTAAAGTTAGACGGAAAAGAATGATCTTTATATAGTTGTTTGCTATGGACGCTAGCAGTTAGCATGCAGTACACATTTGAAAAGATTGATATCTCCAATATTCGTACCTTGATTTACGATGTGCTTCCGGAGGGAAAAAAATCCAAATGTGAGTTAAAAGTTGAGCAAATGACTCCGACAGCTAAACTAAATACGTGTCTAAATTATTAGAACATCTAACTTGTTCAGAGTACTGTAACTAAAGCAAACTCATCTGTCCACCTGCATAGCTCACTAACGGAAATCCAACAACAACAAATTCGAACTCAGCCGCCCGTGAGCTCCACCAATCAACGCGCACCACTATGGTTCTGCTACTTTGGATTGGTCAACGTGCTTGTCGCTTCCACGCCCTAAAGGCGTTGACAGTATGCGAATGCGTTTTTCAGTAAATTTATATTCCCAAATTATGTTCAAACCCTTTTCATATGGTTTATTACGTTACTCCTGATGCAAACAAACGGGGCAATTACAATCTACATTTTAAACTTTTTCATATCATTGAGTAATACCACTCGTTTCACATTTATGGCAAAAATCCATGAGCATTTCTCGAAATTTTTTGTATTATAGACATATGCAAAATGTATCGCATACGGACCCTGAGCATGCGTCAAATGCGCCGCTACACCGGAGCAGTGTTGCCAACTATTTTCAATGAAAAGTAGCTAAAGCCTGCCTGAAAAGTAGCTAAATGTTGCCAGATGACTTCAAGCACTAATTTGCATATCATTTATGTCATCACATAGTTTCTGACAAGCTTGAGCCCGTCATGCCTATACTGTCTCTGGTGCTGTGTATTATATTATGTTAAAAGATTAGATCCAGATGCACAATAAATAAGTTCTATTAACATATAACTTTGCGTGATGAGGTCATTGCGAAATCGCAACTCAAAACTACATCTTTATGTAGTATAAAATAATTAATGTTTTGCTCAAATTGACTGGCCATCTCAGCAAAAACATTATTTGAAATATGTTCATATAGATTTGTATGAAAAAAAAAAAGTTGACTGTTTGTAAAAGTATTACAAACCCAGGTTTTACACTTTTTGGATAAGAATTTAGTATTTTTAATAACACTGATAATGAACAGTTACGTTCTTTTAAACAATCACAGCTTGTGTACTTACTCTTTTTAACTTGTGAAATTAACAAATTTGTGAAAGTGACAACAATTATAGCACTACTCAAATGTATTGCTTTCTAAATTACCAACAATTATAAATGTTAACAAATATCAATAAATGAACAGTTATGAAAAACAGTCTGAGCAATTTACTCTACTAAGTGAAGCCTGCAGCCACTGCTTTTTTGAGTCACAAAGTAGCCAAATAAATGTTAAAAATTGCTAAATTTGTTAATAGGTGCTTTTTGAAAAAAAAAATTGCTATCATGATAAGTTGCTAAATCTAGCAACAAAATTGCTAAGTTGGCAACACTGAAGAAGAGCACCCAGAGGAAACCCTAGCAAACATGGGGAGAACATGCAAACTCCACACAGAAATACCAACTGACCCAGCCGAGGCTTGAACCAGCAACTTTTTTTGCTATAAGGCGAACGTACCCACTGCTCCACCACGTTGCCCAACAAGCAAACAATGAAAAAGAAATATAACAATGCTTCATTTCAAAGGAGCGCTACCCTGTACTAAAACGGCAGCTTTATTGACGCCTTCCTTCAAATACACAACAACGGGGAAGGCAACATCTAATGTAAATATCTATCGTTTCGTATAAACAGCACAAATTAGTTTCTCTTTAAGCCATTGTAAATTGTAAAATAAATGTTTTCCTACAAATCAAAGAAAAATAAGAAAACACTCATCTTGTATGTCTATATTTTAAAAAATAAAACTTTTTAAGATAAAAAGTTCATTATTATTATTTTATATAATAAAGGTATTCATTTTTTATTTTTTTTTTAATTTAAAAAAAATTGTCCATGGAATGGCAAATCCTTTTATTGTTTAAAAAAAGTCAATACATTAAGAGTAGTCTACTCTTCAAATATTTTCTTCTGGTTTGGCTGACATCTAATGAAAATATTCTGTGTTTTTTTCTGTGTTATCATCTTGAACCTGGGACCCTAAGCTGTGGAATTTTTTGGCATGTCTCTGTTATTTAACACAAGTGATACAGCACATTAGCTTGTATGTAAGAGTTGATTAGACTATAAACAGAACCAGTATAAGAAAGGCCTATATTTTGAGCAACAACACATAAATTCAAAAAGCAGATATTAGACAATGTCAGTTAGCAGTTTGCTAAAAAGAAATGCCTGTTATGACGTGCTGCACAAGGGCATTTAATGCTCCAAATTTTAAGTGGTGCATACCTGTTTATTTTAAATTGTTGTTTTCAAGCAATAATTACAAATGTGACATTACAATTTGCTAAAATGTCGTCTAAATGTTGACTGTTTTTGCTCTAAAACAAAGCAGAATAGCATCTCCAAGAACCCTAGCTGTGGTTCCCAACCATTTTTGAGATGCTATAATGTAATAATCTGATTTAATGATTTATGCTAAGCTAAGATAAGCTAAAATATTTCAGATTAATGGATTCAAAAACTGTTTAACTCTAGTGGTTTCAAACTCCAGAAAAACTGTGTACTTTTACATGGTAATGGAAATTGACCTACTGTTATTAATGTGAACTACAGTATTGTGTACAAATAATGAAATAACTAATTTCAAATGGCTTTTACATTTATGCGTTTAATCTAAGACATTTCGTCATTGCTTTTCTCTGACTTTTCTTTAGAAGGTAAAAAAAAAAAGAAACAACAAGAAAAAAACTGGGTGTTTAATTACTAAATCTGTGTGTGCAATTTATTCAGCAGTTATTTAATTATGTAGGCTAAAAATAAATAATGTAAACCTGGAATTCAGCGGTTCATTCCACTGTGGCGACCTCTGATGAATAAAGGGACAAAACAGAAGGAAAATAAATGAATGAATGAACTTGAAATTCACTTAATTGATAAGATTTTGTTTATTGTTTGGCATACAAGTGAATGTTAACAGAAGACACAGACAAGTCAAAACTTATTACTATCTTTACATTTTTGTTTTAAATAAGTTTTATTAAGTTGAATCAGTTCTAATTATTCTACTGTATATAACATGGACAAAGAATCTATTGGACAAAGAGACAAATGTGTGGGACATGTGCATGACTCGAGTCCCAAGTCTGATTGGTGTCTTGGGGGCTCCATAAAAGGAGAGCGTATTAGAAGTCAAACAGGCTCCTGAGAAGCAAAGAAACGCCACTGTGTCAGAGAGAACACAATCACTTTGAAAGAAAAGGACAAGTATGAAGAAATGAGTTTTGGAGTTATTGCTGTGGATGTAGTCTTTAAAGTTATACTGAAGCGAGACACAACAGGTGAGTTTGCTGGACTAAACATCTAATCTCAAAAATGTTCATTGTTAGGCTTTGAAACTACAATAAGATGCACTAACTGTAACTGTAATAATATTAAGATGTTATATTTTATTTCTCTTTCCCAGATCGTTTGTCTTGGGTTGGATCAGTCTGGTGAGTGAGATATTCTGTCCTCGGCTAAACTTAGTCTCGACAATAGTCACTGTCATGGTGGTGTTTAATTACAACACAGTGAGCAGATGGTGTGAGAAGTTACTATGTTTAGATTCATATAGAAAACACAGTGCTTCAATAATGTGAATATCTAAAAAATTTTTTTTAAATCCTTACAAAAAGTAACCATACATTTTGTTTTGATAGTAACACTTTTGGTGCATTGGCTTATATTTGTATAACCACAGTTTTACTACAATTACCATGGTTAAAATAGGATTAGATTTGCAAAACTATCGTAGCCTGACCACTTATGTTAACCACAAATTAACTAGGTTTTGCAAATCGCATATGGTTCACTTAACCATAATTTTTTACCATGGTATTTGTAGTAAAACTGTGGTTACTAAAATACCTTTGAAGTTTTTTTCTTTTTTAAAATATTGCCCAAATGAAGTTTAACAGAGCAAGGAAATTTTCACAGCATGTCTGATAATATTTTTTCTTCTGGAGAAAGTCTTATTTGTTTTTTTCCACTAGAATAAAAGCAGTTTTGAATTTTTTTAAGTTTTAATTTTTTTTAATTATTAGCCCCTTTAAGCTAATTTTTTTCGATTTTCTTCAGAACAAAACATCGTTATACAATAACTTGCCTAATTACCCTAACCTGCTTAGTTAACCTAATTACGCCTTGTCACTTTAGGCTATATAGAAGTGTTTGAAAAATATCTAGTTAAATATTATTTACTGTCATCATGGCAAAGATAAAATAAATAATTTATTAGAGAAATTAGAATTATGAAAAAAATTCTATCAGTAAAACAGAAATTGGGGAAAAAATAAACATGTGGAGGGGGGGGGGGTGGTGTAATAACTCTGAAAATACAAATTAAACAGGTTATTTTTAATATTAAAAAGGACCAGCTTTCTTAAACAGACCACCAACGAATAAAAGCAAAACAAAGCTGGAGTGTTTAAAGCTGAGAAGCAATTGATTTGTTTTTATTGATTTATGGGCTGCATAAAATGGACTTATTTAATGGCTCCCAGTTGTTAAATGAACAATTCAAGCATCCAAATAATAATACCAATGGCAATTCTCATTAATATTTTAGTAGTTCATTAAAGCATTAAGCTCATTTAATAGCATCATAATAAAAGTATGGTTAATTTTAGTCGTTACAAGAATGTGCAGAAGAGTCTATTTACAAGCTGTAATGAAGTGTGAACTAAAATGATCCTTTAATAAATATTATGAGCGGCATGGTGGTGCAGTGGGTTGTGCTGTCGCCCTACAAAAAGAAGGTTGCTGGTTCTAGCCTCGGCTGGGTCAGTTGGAATTTCTTTGTGGAGTTTGCATGTTCTTCCCCTGTTTGAGTTCGGTTTCCTCCGGATGCTCCTGTTTCCCCCACAAGTCAAAAGACATGTGGTACAGGTGAATAGGGTAGGTTAAATTGTCCATGTGTATGTGTGTGAATGAGACTGTATAGGTGTTTCCTAGTGATGGGTTGCAGCTGGAATGGCATCCGCTGCGTAAAACATATGCTGGGTAAGTTGGCGGTTCATTCCACAGTGGATTTATAATAAAAGGACTAAACCAAAAAGAAAATGAGTAAATGAATAATGAATATAATTTCATATTGTACATTTAATACTTTTTGATCCCTCTATACTTCTGAAGGTGTTTATTGTCTTAGATCCATGAATGTCTTCTTTCTCTGTTGCCATGGGCAACTACAACGCTGCTCTTACTGCTGGTAAGTTATCTTATGTCTTCACATTACAGTCATTCATGCTAAATACTTTTAAAATGGGATTATTTCTTGAATGGAATTATGTTTTGCATTATATTTTGCACATGTTGCTTTTAAAGTCATATACACTGCATAAAATAAAAAGTTGATTCAGCCTAAAATTGTAAGGCACAGCTTTTTTTGTGAGTTGACTCAACTTTTAACCCAAGTACTGTAGTTGACTCGATTTAAGCTGAGTCAACTCGAAAAAAAAAAAAAAAAAGCAGTGCAGAAATTTGCCTTACAACTGAGTCAATGTTTTTTTTCACAGTGTATTTTGTGCCCTTTTTATAAATTATAGTCTAAATATTTGATTTAATTATGAAGGTGAATTAATCATAGTGGGCTGCACGGTGGCGCAGTGGGTAGCACATTCGCCTCACAGCAAGAAGGCCGCTGGTTTGAGCCTCGGCTGGGTCAGTTGGCGTTTCGGTGTGGAGTTTGCATGTTCTCCCCTTGTTCGCGTGGGTTTTCTTTGGGTGCTCCGGTTTCCCCCACAAGTCAAAAGACATGTGATATAGGTGAATTGGGTGGGCTAAATTGTATGTAGTGTATGGATGTTTCCCAGTGATGGGTTGCAGCTGGAAGCACAGCTGCTGCGTAACACATATGCAGGATAAGTTGCCGGTTAATTCCGCTGTGGTGACCCAAGATTAATAAAGGGACTAAGCCAAAAAAAAAATGAATGAATGAATGAATTGAACATAGTTTGGCCTTGCAGTATTGTTTTTCACCCCATAATTGTGTTAATTCTGTTATTTTCCATATTTTGCTTCTCACGATCAAAGATGTTGAAGATTTCAAGTCCATTGTATCAACTCTGACTGAGCAGAACAGACTGGAGAACACACTCTCCATTAATCATGTCAGTAAGTGAATTACTATATTGAAAAATTGCATTAACAAACCATGATATTTGAGTTATCTTTTTTATATTACATTACACACTTTATTAGGTACACCTTACTAGTACCGGGTTGGATCCCCTTATGCCTTCAGAACTGCCTTACTCCTTCGTGGCATAGATTCAACAAGGTACTGGAAATTTTCCTTAGAGATTTTGGTCCATATTCACATGATAGCATCATGAAGTTGCTGCAGGTTTGTTGGCTCCACATCCATGAAGCAAATTTTCAGTTCCAACCACATCCCAAAGGTGCTCTATTGGATTGAGACCTAGTGACTGTGGAGGCCATTTGAGTAAAGTGAACTCGTCATGTTCAAGAATCCAGATGATTCTGAGATGATTCGCACTTTATGACATGACATGTTATCCTGCTGGAAGTTCTGACCCTACTATCTGAATGTCACAGCAGATATTGAGACTCATCAGACCAGGCTACATTTTTCCAATCTACTATTGTCCAATTTTGGTGAGCCTGTGCAAATTGTAACCTCAGTTTCCCGTTCTCAGCTGATAGGAGTTGCACCCGGTGTGGTCTTCTACTGCTGTAGCCCATCCGCCTCAGGATGGACGTGTTGTGTGTTCAGAGATGCTCTTCTGTATACCTTGGTTGTAACGAGTGGTTATTTGACTTACTGTTGCCTTTCTGTCAGCTCGAACCAGTCTGGCCATTCTCCTCTGACCTCTGGAATCAACAAGGCATTTGCACCCACAGAACTGCTGCTCACTGGATATTTTTTCTTTTTCAGACCATTCTCTGTAAACCCTAGAGATGGTTGTGCTTGAAAATCCCAGTAGATCAGCTGTTTCTGAATTACTCAGACCAGCCCATCTGGCACCAACTACCACGGCGCGTTTAAAGTCACTTAAATCACCTTTCTTCCCCATTCTGGTGCTTGGTTTGAAATGCAGCAGATCATCTTGACCATGTCTACATGCCTAAATGCATTAAGTTGCTGCCATGTGATTGGCTGATTAGAAATTTGCATCAACAAACAGTTGGATAGATGTACCTAATAAAGTGGCCGGTGAGTGTACATTTTAAATTATAGAAAGAAAAAATCAGGATTTGGTAAGCATGAAACATATTTATGTACAGGGATGTGTTTACAAATGAAACAAATGACCTCTTGTAGGAATGTAGAAAATTTCCTCCTGGGTATGTGCAGACAGAACATTTGTTACGTTTTGACACACAGGGACTGTTTCAGGATGTCCTTGAGTTATATTTAACTTTTTGGTGTTAATTGGTGTCTCAGTTACTCTTACACACCTGACATCTCTAGCACAATTTAGTGTCTACAAATAAGCGTGGATATACAACTCAGTTTAAGGAGACTTATTTTGCCAAAATTAATTTTTATGAGGGGTTTAATCACAGTTGTGTGGCAACAGTCTGTGAATATAACCAGCTTCTAATGGTAAACATTTATTAATCGTGTTTTTTTATAATTACACTTCATAAAAACAGTCTGCATGAACACTTTGATTGATGTTCTCCCTTCGCACATGTCATCAGAGGGGAAAAGCCCAGCTCAATAATGATGATTTCTCCCTCCTTAGCATAGGGTGCTATTTTTGTTTTGGAATCGGAAACTAAGCTAACAGAGGCATTTGTCCACACTATTTTGAAAAGACAGCTTAACGAACAATCTCATTTGAATTTAAAGTGACAGTCAAAGATTAAAAGGGGCAGTTTCAATGAGTTATAAAACATGATTTGTGGGGTATTTTGAGCTGAAATCAGGCCCGGATTGGCTAATTGGGAGGACCGGGAGAATTCCCGGTGGGCCGGTCCATTTTTTGGCCGCGAGGGCCGGTGTCCCTAGCTGCTTGCACTCTCAGCAGTCGCACTTTTTTTTTCCTTTTTTTATTTATATGACCATAGTCTCACTCTTTTTATTTATTATTTTGCCGCAGCTCCGCACTTTTTATTTATTTTCTCGCAGCCCCGTGAGCAAAATGCAGCCTGCAGGTTAATGATGACGTAACTATTATTCGACCCCAAACAGCGGCACCTTAGTGAATATAAGAATTCGAATAATTAATATTATGAATATTACACCTGCTCAATGAAAATCAGATGATTCACTACATTAATAAATCTGACATAAATCAGAAATCTAGAAAGTGACATTGTGGTCCAGTGGTCAGCACGTTACATTACCACACTGCAGGATCCGAGTTTGATCCTTTCCTCTTTAATTGAATTTATTTATTTATTTATTTTTTTTCATTTTTATTGTTAAGACATAAACTACTGTCTGGGTTGTTGAACATTTCAACTTATAAAGCAGCTGTTTTCTTGAAAAATATGTGATTGTGTCATTAGAAACTGAATTCGAAATGACGTTATTTTAATATAGTCAGTCGTGAACTGAGGTGGGCCGGTCTAAGGCTTGAAACTCCAGGGCTGAAAATGAGTACCACTCTGGCCCTGGCTGAAATGTCACATAGACACTTAAAAATGTCACGTACACTGCAAAAATGCTTTTCTTAATTAGCTTTTTTGTCTTGTTTCTAGTCCAAATATATAAAAATTATTATATCAAGAAGCATTTTCTAGTCAAGCAAAAACATATTGTCTTGTTTTAAGAAATAGTATGCCAAAACCAAGTGAGGTTTTCCGTAAAAACAAGTAAAATAATCTGCCATTGGGGTAAGCAAAATAATCTTGTTTTTCCTTTTGACATAAGATTATTTTGCTTACCCCATTGGCAGATTATTTTGTTTGTTTTAAGGAACAATTCACTTAATTTTAGCATTTTATTTCTTAAAACAAGACAATATGTTTTACTTGTCTAGAAAATTCTTCTAGATTCAAGAATTTTTAGATATTTGCACTAGAAACAAGACAAAAAAAATCTAAGTAAGAAAATCATTTTTTGCAGTGTACTCACTAAAAATGAATACAATCCTCTCCTTTATACTTTGGAGTTTTGAACTTATTTTATTTATTATTAATATTATTTATTTTTTATTTTTTGCAGGCTGTTGATAAAGAAGCAGGACAAGAAATGAATGAAGTGAACCAAGAACCAGACTTGCTGGCTCTAAAGTTTCTTTATTGTAACATAGAAGCACCCAAAGACACCACAGTAAGTAAAAAAAATTAATCTTGCATAACTTGTTTTTCTATAGAGCTTTCTTTTCCCCAAGGATTTACAAACTTTGTGAGAAGAAAAACTCTTGGAAGTGAAATATTTAATTGAAGTACCACCTGAGGTTTAAAGGATTAGTTCACCCAAAATTGAAAATTCTGTTATTTACTGCTCATCCACATATAGCTCCAAATCCTTCGTTCTTCCTTACACAAATTAAGACATTTGAGATGAAACCCGAGAGCTCCCCGATCCTTTAGACAGCAATGGGCTTGAGATATTCAGAATCCAGAAAAGGAAAAACATTATCAAAACAGTTCATATGATTTTAGTGATTCAGCTTTAATTATACGAAGCTCCAAGAACACTTTTGTGTGCAAAAAACTGTAAATATAACTTTGCTCACCTATATTGCACCTATATAAATGCAGAGCCTGACCTAACAAAGACAATCAAAGGTGATTTTACAGTCTTATTTTGGCATTCAAATGTGTTCTTGGAGCTTATTAGGATTACAGTTGACCCACTGAAGTCACACAGACTGTTTTGATAATGTTTTTGGTTCCTTTTCCGACCTCTGAATGTTACAAGACCCTTGCTGTCTATGGAGGATGAGGGGGCAGTGCCACCCTGTGCTGCCACCCCTTTATAATTGCCTCTGATAAAGACACCTGTCAGCTTTCAGAGATGGTTCGAGAAGGTGAAGCTGCAGGCCCAGAGACCCAACCGCACGCTCAGACTTGCATGCACAGACCTACCGTTTTCTCAGACAGTGCTACCTACTGTTGGGTTGGGTGAAGCAGCAGGTACGGAGACCCAACTGCACGCTCAAACCAGCACTTTATAGCAAGTAGCAACATCAGACATGCCATTAAGGTTATTGATTATTAATGCAATTCCTGAAAATTACCAGGTTTTATGGCATAAATGAATGTGTTGTAAAATATTACACTAACAAACAATTATTTCAGTGTGTGATTTGATCAAGATTAGTGCCAAAAGTATTATTTTATGATATTTACAGCTTGCTCTTATTTTATGTATTATTGTACCATTCTAGGACAATTTTCTAGCAATATTTTCTAGAAAATTAAAAACAGAATGTATAATATATAATGCAACTATTATTTGAAAGATATTTTAGTTCTTTGTAGGTCTACTATACACATATTACTATATTATCTATCTAAAAATTCTTCCAAAGACAATAACAGTAACACAATAACAGTTTAACAATTATTAACAATTAATAATAAGTTCTGTAATGATTACAAATAAGTTTTTTGGAAATCAAAATATCAGTTAATCTGCATAGAATGTACAATATCAGCTCTCTTAGGTTAAAGCAATAATAATTTGCTGGTGATGTGTATTTTTTCCCAGATTGATATTACAATTCAAAAAGGGTGGTCTCTGCCAACACTAATACAGCGCACCAAAGGCTGCAGATTTACCCAGTTTTTTTGTTTGAGAAATGAAAAATCTCCCCAACAAGAATGTAAATTTTATTTGATTTTTAAAATTTAATTTGATGTTATTTTTTACGTAAAAACATTTTCATTAATCTAATTATTCTTTTTCACCATTTTCTCTGCATTGTTTACAGCTTGTAGATTTGTAGGACCTCATGAAAAAGTACACAAAAAATTTTAAAAAAGTTTGTTGTGAGAAAATTACCAGAAAATTATAACGTATTGTATGTGAAGAATATGAAGATAATATTTATTCCCTCAACTCAATACGAAACAGTGATAAATGATTAAAAAAAAATAATAATAAATGTCTGAAAATATTGAAGTAACTGAACAATATCTATTTACAAATACAATTAATAAAAATACAACATAATTAATGCATTAAATCAAAATCTAGTATGTTTAATATTTTATATAATAATGTATTCAATCATAGCGTAATATTTTATCGTAGTTTAAGGGTGCTTTCACACCTGTGAATCGACTCACTTGTTCTAAAACAGAAATTACTATTATTACATTGTTGCTCTTTGCTCTTGCGGTTCGCTTTCCCACGGGAAAATTTCCAAACGGGCCAAGAGAGCTAAAACAAGTCACGTGTGATTAAACTCTCCTCACATTGGTCAGAATTTTAGGTTTATTTTTTTTGCAGAGTCCCACTCAGCTGCCAGAGGGTTTTGGTTTGGTGGTGTTTGACAAGGTGCGCGTGACGTGTCTGAAGAAGGATGCGGTGGAGAGGGGTGAGAAGGGTGCGCGACGTATTTGAGGACCTGGAGAAAACGCACGATTTCCGGAGATTATCACTCGTTTGCGGGCATCCGGGAGTCTCTGTGCATTTGCGGGAGACTCATGAACCTTCCGGGAGACTTGGCATGTCTGGAATGACCTCCCACTCTACTCATAATTCTCTCTTCATACAGCCGTATGCCTATTATATATCCATAATACACTGTGATATACCCGGGCTCGGATCGTATCGCTTTCTCACTACAATCGATCTGATCCAGAGTTTGTTTTAATCGAGCCAAGACCACCTCATTCAAGCGATCTCGGAGCGATTGATTTGGCGCGGATCCCAGCTCGATTGCTGGTTTCACATATGACAAACGAATCGCACTAACTGGGCAAACGAGACAAGTTCCGAAACAAAAGTGTAGTTGTGAAAACACCCTTAGTTACGATTTACAAGCAGCTGATTTCAGGTTAGTCAATCTTTCAAACATCAGCTGGCACTGGAAGGTCTGGAAGTGCAGGTCTAGCTTTCTGAGCGTGCAGGTCTGAGCGTGCAGGTCTGAGCGTGCGGTTGGGTCTCCGGGCCTGCAGCTTCATAATGTTGGATGGTTCTCTTGGCCAGAAAAAAAAGAAAACTTCTGCGACTAACTTGTGTCACTGAACAGTGTATGCTGGTGCCACTCATCTGTTGATGTGATGGCCCAGGAATTTGGATTAAATCTTGATGATCTGGGGCCCAATGTATGTATGTAGTGGTGTACAGGTACCACAAGGACCCAGTTGGTGATCAGTTATGTTACTTTAATGGAAAAGTATGCGGTGAATTGTGTTCTGTGATACATTGTCCTGGTCACCACTGTTGTATCTGCTGGTGATTTGTTGCACTTTGGCACTACAGTTGTGGTGAACAAGGCTAAAATATACTCTGATCCCCTTTGACATTAGTGAGCTGCGAAAAATACATGGCAGGACAAGTATTTCTTTGGCTGTCTGTCTACCACCTTTGAAACACTCTCTACAAAATCGAACGTGTCCTGTTTCTTAAATTGACGTTCTGAGGTGCTAAGCCATCAGAATTTGTCCTTTTATCAAACTCCTATTCTAACACCAATCAATGTTTGAAGGTATGCTGGTGTATACTGCTCTGTGAACTGCACCAGGAACATCATTTGGTTGCCAGAAGTACCAATACTCCAATACAATATGGCTCATTCTGAAAAGCAGAATATTCAGAAAATGTCAACTACAGATTGTTGAGCATATTGAAAGTCATCATGTCAGATTATGCAAAAAGTTGCTTTGAAAAACTTTTATTACTTTAATTTTTTAATTACAGTATCCTCAAGTAAAAGCAAAACAACGAAGTTGATTTCACACCATGATAAATATGCCCCAGTCCCAAATTTTTGGGAGGTTGTTGCAGCCCTATATATATTCTCATTTTCCTTCGGCTTAGTCTCTTTATTAGGGGGTAGGATTACCTGTTTTGATACAAAAAACTAAGGGACGCATACTGCAGCAGGGGCCATATCGCTTGGGGGTCCTAAACCACTGTGATCACAGGCCCAATAGCATGCCAGTGGTGGTAAATCGCAACTTAAAATATGTTTTCAGGAAAATACAAACACTTGGACATTAAAATAAACTGTCTTTTATTGAAATCTGTCTAAACGGATGCAGTCAGTCTTTCTCTTTTACAACTCTGCATGTCCTTATATAGATATAGCGTTAACTCAGCTGCTGTAACCTAGAGGTAAGTAGAAAATACTAATGAACCTAATTTTAAAGGGTGGTATTGATAACAGAATTTGGCTGAAATATTTTTATTATTTGCAGTAACAAGTATCCAAACATGGAAACAGCACATACAAAAACTAGATAAAAACATTAGCTACACAGTAAAAAATGATATGATCAATTAGTCCTGACAGCATATGTTTTTTTTAGGTCATTTTAACTTACTAAACTAACTTAATCATGTTCTATCTTAATTTTATAAGTTATGCAAGCTGTTTTAAGTCAGTTTAACATAATATAAGTTCAATGATTAATTCAATTCAGCTTATAAAATCAAGGCAACCAGGATTTTTTACAGTGTAGTAAAGTTTTCATATAGCTCATTTGTAATTATAAAACATGGAAAGTTGCAATTTACTAGTTTATTTTCTTTACACGGGCATTGTTGTTTATTAATGTATTAAATAAAATATTTCAAGTATTAAACTATTGCTTATGTGCCTGATTTAACCTTAACAAACAAATCATAATATTACATTGGAATGTGATCCACTTACATTGTATTTACATAAATTTACAAATTACAATTTGTGAACCAGTGTGTGAAAACCAGGCCAAATCTAATTCTGAGATAAAGTTTGACTGTAGCCATTCACTTCACTGTGATTTTCACAGACTGTTCTTTGTTTCATGTAAAAAACAGTAAATTACAAAAATAAATAAATAAATAAATAAATAAAAACTCCAGCTAGATTTTCATAGACTGGGTCACATTTTAACATAATTAAGCAATTAACCAAAATATTGTTAATAATTATTACACTGTCATTACCATGTCTGCTTAAGGAGAGACTTGGGGTACGAAAAACTGACTGACTTTGATTTTTTCACTCTCTGTTATTGCGGGAATGCTGCTCTCCAGAGGCATGTTGTCTCGCAGACCACCATGAGCCACAGAGAACACTCTCCGACAAATCGTGCAGTTGGCTTAATAACAATTTCTAACACTTTGCAGCCAGGTATCTGTTTCCCCCCACTCTCTACAGTATTTTTTCAGTCGCTTGAGTTTAAACTCTGAGACTTTAAGACGCGGAGGGTTACCTGGAGAAGCATCTGCCATTACTCTCTGTCAAGACTTGACAGACTCTGCTTAAAAGACCCACCCTCCTCACTGGACAGTTAAAAAGACAATTCAAACTAACGATGACATCAAGTATTACCCAATCAAAAGTAGGAAATGAGGCATCTGCATAAAATGCGTGTGGGATGATTTGCATAAAAAAGCTACTTTTAAAAAAGGATTAAAATACAGGACAAAACTCGTCCCGTATTGATTCGAATCGGGACGTGCAATTTCCTTCTCAAATACGGGAGGATTCCGTATTTTAAGGGACAGGTGGCAACCCTATCAGGGGTCATCACAGCGGAGTGAACCGCCAACTTATCCAGCATATGTTTTACACAGCGGATGCCCTTCCAACTGCAACCCAGTACTGGGAAACATCCATACACACTCATTCACATACACTATGGGCAATTGATTCATTTCTTTCTTTTCGCAGAATAGGCGAAACATTTTATTTTTTGTCTGTGTGTCTTTTTCAGGAACCTGTTAGCAACTGTACCTCTACACCCATTCCAGAGGCTTCTTCTTCATCATCATCTTCTGGCACAGCTACCTTGACTCCACTCCCTGCGTATCTTTCTGCATTATTAGCTAAACCCAGACCAGCCCTGAAGGGCCCTGCCACAATGGAGCAGATGAGGGCAGAGCTTAGAGAACTGCGAGATGAACTGGACACACTTAAGACTCAGCAGAAGTCAGTGCAATATTTATGCATGCTAACTAAAAGGTTGTTTCTTGTTTGAGATTCGTATGTCTGTAAATGTAATGGCATTTTGTTTCAGAAAGGAGATCAAACTGCTCATGAACGAACTTGATGAAGAAAAAAAGATGCGTTTGTCACTGCAAGTAAGAGTCAAAAACAATTTTAGATGCTAAAATGTTATTTAGAATATCATTTACCACTGTAAAGTAGAACTTAATTATTTATCATACAGTGCATTTTGAAAGTATTGAAAACGCTCACTACACATTTTGTTGTTACAGCTTCATTGCTAAAGGGATTCAATTAATTATTTTTCTCAAACTTTCTCAAAACAATACTCCATAATGTCAATGCGAAAAGGTTAGTTTGAAACCTTTGCAAATTTCATCATCATTTTCATCCGCTTATCCGGGGCCGGTTCGCGAAGGCAGCAGTCTTAGGAGAGAACTTCAGACTTCCCTCTCCCCAGACACTTCTTCCAGCTCCTCCGGGGGTTTCCCGAGGTGTTTCTAGGCCAGCCGAGAGACATAGTCCCTCCAGTGTTTCCTGGGTCTTCCCAGAGGCCTCTTACTGGTTGGACATGCCTGGCTGTAACACCTCCCTAGGTAGGCATCCTGGAGGCATCTGAAACAGATCCCCGAGCCACCTCAGCTGACCTCTCTCGATTTGGAGCAGCAGCGGCCTCCCAGGTGACAGAGCTCCTCACCCTGTCTAAGTCTTTGTCTTGCCTTTGCTTTGCCTTTCGGCTCAGCTCGTTCTTTACCACAACGGACTGGTACATTGACCGCATTACTACTGCACCGATCCGCCTGTCAATCTCACATTCCATCCTTCCCTCACTCATGAACAAAAACCCAAGAGACTTAAACTCCTAAACCATGGGTAAAGACTTTTCTCCAACCTGGAGGTGGCAAATTCTTTGCAAATTTATTAAGAATAAAAAATAATAATGTAAATAAGTACTCAGTCTTTGCTCAGTATTTTGTTAAAGCACTTGAAGTATATTTGAGTATAATGCTAAAAGCTGACACACCTATTTTTGGGCAGTTTGTCCCACTCCTTGTTTTCAGTACTTCCTAAATTCCATCGGATTAGATGAGGAGCATAGGTGCACTGCCATTTTTAGATCTGTTGAAAATATTTTTAATCAAGTTCATGTCTGGGCTCTGGCTTGGCCACTCAAGGACAATCACAAAGTTGCCCTTGATGTTATCTTGGCTGCGGTCGTAGGGTCATTCTCCTTTTGAAAGCTCCTGCTGCTGAGAAACATCCCCACAGCTGATGCTACCGCCATCATGCATTGCATTTGTTGGCCTCATGATGATGCTTGGTTTCCTCCAGACAAAGAGTTCCATCTTTGTTTCATTGGATTTAAGAATTTTGTTTCTCATAGTCTGAGAGTCCTTCAAACTCCAGATGGATCCTAACATCTTATGAGTTATTTCAACAGTTTTTATTTTATTTTATTTATAAAACAGCAAATTTTATACAAGAAAAAGATTACAAGAAAAAAAAAAGAAAAAGAAGTACATCAACATACTGAAAGAAGTCCCAGCAACTTTCAGGTCACATGGACTTTAGGATACAGAAAAGCATGAAGTACAGTAGTCAACAGTAGTTTGAAGTGGATCATCACCATTTATCAACGTTAAAAATATCAGACATAAAAAATATTAAGCAACACCAATTCTTGTCTGGAAAAAAGTTGATCCACCTGTCTACGTTAACCTCCATTTCAGCAAAGATTTCAAACAAACCATTTTCAGACTGTCATTATGCAATATACTGTACGTTTGTAGAATTTGGAGTAAAGTAATGAATTTAATCCATTTTGGAATAAGACTGTAACAGCTAATTATGGAAAGAGTGAAGTGCTATAAGAATAATTTCCAAATCAATTCACTGATCTCTAAATTCTGCACTTTTTCAGATTGAAGTAGAACGGCTTAAGAAGCACATGTCCAAGTGAGCCAGCGCTGAGGGATCCATTCAAATTGGTCAAATCTGACAAATCATGCCATTTAACATCTGAATGAGCAAACTGAAGTGAAACGAAAAGCTTCCAAAGACTGAGGAAGAACTTAAAGACTTATTTGTTTTTTAAATGATATTTTATGATTGCATTACAATGTAGCAGCTTGGCTTATTTTAAAGGATGTTTTGAGTTTTAATCTGTGGAAGATGATTGTAAAGAAAAATCCATTTAACTGTTGGAATAAAGGACATCAAATCTTGCTTTTAAATATTTATTATTATTATTATTATTATTATTATTATTATTATTATTATAGTATTATTATTATTATTATCATCATCAGATAATACCATTTCATTTTGTGAAATTAGAATTTATTAAAAATTTAATAAAAAAAAGTGGAGTCAGAAGGATTTCAAATGCTTTTTTATTGTATGGTGTAAATAAAACTAAAATTACTGTAGTATTTTTATGCAAATTTTTCAGAATGTATTACTGCAGTCTCACATCATTCTAATATGTGGATTTATTGTTTAAGAAACTGGACTGTATTCTGGGGGGTGGGGGTCCCACTATTCCTTTGCTTTAATCCGCGATGAATGGTTAATGGGGTAAAATAAATGTTCATATTTTAAAAGGCATTGAGGGGAAATTTTTAATTTAATACAGTGCTTCCTGTAGACCCACTTTATATCAGATATTACTCAGCCAGTGGAGATCGCAGATTTTTAAAGAAAAAAGACCTTAAATGCGCTGATTTTGAAATGACATATAGTTAACTGGAAGTGCTTTAACCAGGCTACTGACAAATTAAAAGTCCTTCCGCATATTTCTGCCTTCTGCATATACCCTATTATACACAACAACAAGCCGACTGGCTAATGCCACGAAAGTACACAAGAAGGACATTAATAATCACAGTAATATGTATAGTGGCCTCTGGTTAGATTTACGAGGAATAGCAGCCATGAGAAAACCTGCCAAATAGCAGCCTCTAGTGCAGGGGTGACCAAACTCGGTCCTGGAGGGCCGGTGTCCTCCATAGCTCCAACTTCTTTCAACACACCTGCCTGGAAGTTTCTAGTATACCTAGAAAGAGCTTGATTAGCTGGTTCAGGTGTGTTTAATTGGGGTTGGAACTAAAATATGCAAGACACCGGCGCTCTAGGACTGAGGCACTCATGCTTTAGTCGATTTGTGAAAACAAAAACAGCAACAAGACGTCCAGGGTACATATTTGTCAGTTCGCAAAAAATGTAGCCTTGGGCACATATTTCCAGTGAGCCTGGGTTAATTATCAACATTAATTTTAAAAACATTTGGTTTGCATAATATTTTAGAGAAACTATACCGATTTAGCATACTTTGATGAATATAATGTTCAGAGGAATTTAAAGAATATTGTAAATTAACAAGTATTAACATTATTATTGTATTTATTTATATATAGCTAACAGAAAGTCAAAAAGTAAAACATGAGGTTAAAAAATTCCTGTGAGAAAACTAAAATAATAGCGGAACTATTTGAGACATGCAGTAAATAAGGCAAAAAACATGAATAAAATACATTCTTACAAAAATATTTATTTACATTACTTAAAAACCAAATGTAGATGTACCGTTAATATAAGTGTAGATGAAAACAACAACACAACACATAGTAAATTATAAATTCTGAAGGGATGACAACTTATTAAAGAAACATGATGCAAACTTAACATGAACAATTATAGATTATTTCCAGTTAAACACTACAAATGAAAGCTATTTCAGTAACTGATTAAAGGAGGCAGTGGTTTTGTTATGGAATGTCCTTGTTTGAACTTTTGAATCAAAAGTTGGAGTCTTCACATGGAATAGGTTTGAAGGTCACATCTTTACTTTCCTCCAGCAGAAGATCGTAGCGACACAGAGGCCTGGTGGAAAACAATTACATTTTAGAGTGGCATTTAGCTGAATGGAAACAAAAGACTAAACTTAACTTTGATGTTGTCAAGTATTTATTGGTCTTTGTATATAGTTTAGACAGTTTATTTATTTGTTATTTTTTTCAATCAAAGTTTTTAATCAACACACTCAGAATACTCTATATTCAGGAATTTTATTACAATTTAAAATAAGTGTCTTTCTGTTTTATCATATTATAAAATTGCATTAATTTGTCTGACGGCAAAGCAGTTTTCTTCCGTCATTATGCAATGCGTTACAAATTGATGATGAAACATCTGGATTTTTTTTGCAGGAATTTTGATTGATGTAAAAATAAATATTTTAAATGCTAAAATAATTGTGCAGATTTTTTCATTATTCTTTGAAAAATATAATGAATGAATGCTGAAACAATTGTAATTGGGTTTTTTGATGATTTTAGAAAAGTACATAAATAAATGTCTATATTGCTAATTAATGCAGTTTTGCAGAATGAATTGAAATTACTGACCCTAAACTAAAAAAATAAACTCAATACACTACCTGACAAAAGTCTTGTCGTCTATCCAAGTTTTAGGAACAACAAATAATAACTTGATTTCTAGTTGATAATTTGGTATCAGAAGTGGCTTAAATGAAAGGCAAAGGCCTTTAGATTATGCTTATTTTACCAACGTAAAATATGATTGTGTCTTAATTTTTAATTTTCAAAGGTCTAACTTTGCTTAGACAAAAGTCTTGTCACTTAACAGAAATAATGTACAGTATAGAAGGCATGCTGCAGTGGAAGAAGAATTAATATTGTGTATGACACCCATGAAATTGGACGACTGCATCCATACATCTCTGCAATGACTCAAATAACTTATCAATAAAGTCATCTGAAATGGCAAAGGAAGAGTTCTTGCAGAACCTCCAGAGTTCATCAAGATTCTTTGGATTAATTTTCAATGCCTCCTTCTTCATCTTACCCCAGACATGCTCAATAATGTTCATGTCTAGTGACTGAGCTGGACAATCCTGCAGCACTTTGATCCTCTTTGCTTTCAGGAACTTTGATGTGGAGGCTGAATTATGATAAGGAGCGCTATCCTGCTGAAGAATTGGCCCACTCTTGTGGTTTGTAATGTAATGGGCAGCAAAAATGTCTTGATACCTCAGGCTGTTGATGTTGCCATCCACTCTGACAATCTAACGTACTGAATGTAACCCCAAAACGTGGTTTTTCCTTCACCAAACTTGACTGATTTCTGTGAGAATCCATGCAGGTTCCATTAGGTCTTCTGCAGCATTTGTGATGATTGAGATGCAGTTCAACAGATAATTCATTGGGAAAATCGACCTCGCCACTCTTCCAAATGATCAACTAGATGTCAAAATATTATTTGTCGCTCTTACAACTGGGATCAGCGATAAGACTTTTGTCTTTTGTCAGGTAGTATATATATATATATATAATTATTTAATCATATATTAATTTATATACATATACATATATATATATACATACACATATATATATATATATACACATATATATATACATATATATATATGTATATGTATATATATATATATATATATATATATATATATATATATATATATATATACACATATATATATATATATATATATATATATATATATATTTTTTTTTTTTTTTTTTTTTTTTTTTGAAGATGATATCATATGATTTTCTCAAATTTGACAAACAGCTTATTGCAGTCAAAACAACATTACCCTAAAATTCAAAAGAACAAAATGTTTTTCCTGTAATATCAAAACTTTGCAAGCATAAATTGACAAGTGGTGGTGCTAGGAAGTTAAAGACTCCAAATTTTTGGTGCTTATAGATCAGATGTTTCTCTGTCAGTGTACATCGAAGATGATCTCATACAATTTTATACACACACAGTAGAAGTCGGAATTATGATGTTTAAAAGAGCAAGGACATTTTCACACCATGTCTGATCATATTTTTTCTTCTGGAGAATACCTTGTAGTTTTTTAAAAACATTTTAAGGTCAATATTATTAGTCTCTTTAAGCTATATATTATTTCAATAGTCTACAGAACATACCATCGTTATACAAAAACTTGCCTAATTACCCTACCCTGCCTAGTTAACCTAATTAAGCTAGTGAAGCTTTTAATTGATAGATTGATAGATAGATAAAATCAGCAGAAGAGCAAAAAAACAGCAAAAAAAAAAGTTTTTTTTTAACTTTATATGATAACTTTATATTTTTTTAACTATATATAGTGCAATCAAAACAACATTACCCTAAAAGTAATCAAAAGACTTTTTAATCTTTTTAAAAGACTTAAAAAGTAATTAAGTCAGAAGAAAAAATATTTTGTTTCTAGCCCGTAATATTTACACATTGTTAGCATAACATTTGGACAAGTGGTGGCGCCAGAGAGTTTGAATTAAAGGCTCCAAACTTGTGGTGCTCAAAGCTCAGATTCTCTGTCAGTCTATATTGTATAACTTGCATAACTAAGAACAACAACAATCAGGGTGCCAGTGATTAAATTAAAAAGCGAATCTTGTGGACACACCTGAGGTGGTTCTGTAGAGGAGTGAGGCGTATATGCAGAAGCCGCAGTTTCTTGCGTGGCCGCAGTCCTTTTCTGGGGCAGAACTTCAGTGTGATCTTTTTAACAGGCTGAATGTCTCTCTCAAACTGAGCCAGGACAGAGGTCTCCTGAAACCTCTCGAACTTTAAGGATTTACTGGAATAAAGATGAGAAACATTAGCATGAGACCAAACTACAAACCTGGAACTAGCCTTTAAAGTGATAGTTCACCCCCAAAATCTAAATGTGCACAATGTTTACTCACCCTCAAGTGGTTACAAATATTTATGAGTTTCTTTTATTTTTTTTTTTTTTGTTGTTGAAAGATATTGTGAAGAATGTAAGAAACCTATAGCCTTTGTCATCTATAGTCAATGGCTACTGGTTTGTATAATTTTTCAAAATAGCTTCTTTTGTGTTCAACCGATGAAAAAAAACTCAAACATGATTGTAACAAGCGAAGAGTAAATGATGACAGAATTTAGATTTTTGGCTGAACTATCCCTTTTATGAACTAATGACTTTACACTTCCATGGACTTACTGATTGAGTTCTACTTGTGTCTCTTCAGTTCCATTGGATAATTTAATTGTCAAATATCCCCAGTGGGTTTTCTGGTTCCACGATACGATATCAACCTTGTAGCCAACCTCTGGTGGAGTAAAAGATGAAATATTTAGAGGTGGCTTTACACAAATCCATAATCACCCAAATCCACAGCATGCCATTTGTATTAGAACACTAACAATAATGTGA